ACCTGGGTATCATCATTCAAGAAGAATTAAGCTGCTCAATCAACTGCACCAAGGTGTCCAACGCAGCTGTAAAGAATATCGGCTTGCTTAAGCCGGTCTTCGGCCGGTTTGAGTCAGCTTTATTCCCCCACCTACTATCAGCCTACATTCGACCACTCACAGAATACATTATCCAGGCTTGGAATCCATGGCTACAGCGTGATTGCAAGATGCTGGAGCGTCCACAAAGGATGGCCACCAAAATGGTAAGGGGGTTGAATCAGTGTTCATACGCAGAGAGATTGAAGTCACTGGGGTTATATTCCAATCATTACCAGCGCATCAGAGAATATATGATTATGGTATACCAAATAATGCAAAACCCAGGGCCAGCCGTATCGCCTGCTGCTAAAAATATCAGCCAATGTTCATCTTAGAGCACAGCTGTTCAAGCTAATGGTCTCAAAATACCGATTCGAATGCTGACTTCAGTCATTCGCAGTCGGAGTGTGTTCGATCTGGAAATCTCTACCATCGTACGTCATTTGTGCTCCAAACAATGAATCTTTCAAACTGAGGCTCTATGAAACATTAGCACACCTTACACATTTCAACATAAGTGAAGCTGCGTGCAGCAGTGGAAAAAGCACGTATCACGTGACATTTTATACAAAGAATTATGGATGTATGTATCACTGTTTCTTACTCCACCGCACGAACCTATGGGACCAGAAAAGCATGAGCTTGCAAGTTAATCCCATAATAAATCTTTGAACCTTTGAATCTTTGACCAACCTCCAAACCGGAGTTAACCAGTTCGTCTCAAACAAAAAGGACAAACGCAAAGATGTTCAACTAGTCACAAAAGAGTTCATGAATAACGGATATCCACCAAATATCCTACAAAGAATTCAAAAAAGCATTAAAAGATTTATACAACCAGAAATCAAAATGACCGATTGGATCGCAACTAGTGTCATACCTTATCGCCGCAATACGTCAGAAGATGTCCCACGCATATTGAAGCAGTTCAACATACGAGTCGCTTTTCGGTCAACTAACACTCTTCGTTCACTTCTGATGCGACTTAAGGACAGACGGCCAAAAGCTGATCAATCGACTCTTATTTACAAGATAAGATGTAAACAGTGTACGGTCACTTAGATTGGCCAAACAAGTCGACAACTAAAGACGCGGATATCCGAACATGACAGGAAATCTAAACACCCTCCAAGAAATTCATCGGCGCTTAGGACCCTTGAGAGGGACTCAGCTATTGCTCTACACTCCATCTCTGAGGAACACTCTATTGACTTAAAAAACCGATTATTCTGAAACAAGATTTCAGGTAATATAGAGAACGTTTAATTACGGAGTCACTGTTAATCAACAGCGATCCAATTTGCGTCAATCGATCAGATGGGACCCAATTATCAGTTCACTAGCTTGATACCATTTGCTCAACCAACCGTTCACACACACGCACACACACACAACCTTGCTCACTAACAAACAAGATCTAATCTAACCACGCCACAAAAGCCGCTCAAAGACTAATCTTCAATCTTTTATGACGTCATCATTAACTCTTTGACCTTTTGCTTCATTCACAACTTGCATAATCTCATCTATTATCCCACACATTGTTCCTACCCCTGGACCAATCACAAGCACGTCCAATAGATACGGTTTCTCTTACGATTTTTGTTTAATGTTCGCTTGTTAATTGACTTGCAAAAGGCCTTCCAATAGGGTCGAAACGTCGTCAACCGAAAATTGTTGTTTTTGGTTTTCTCTCGTTGTGGCTAATCCAAATATTCCTATACGGGATCTAACACCATGAGCACGACGCACAATTTCTTCAAAGATATCCGTTCCAACTTTGGATGTAATACCTTGAAGGTAATAACTTTATTTGTGAAAAGATTAGTTGCTTTTGGAGTATTTAATGGTTGGTTCTGGAGTTATAGCCACAAAGTATTTGAGTTCCAGGTGGCATGTGTTACAACTGATAAATTTCCAGTTTTTTTTAGCTTAATCTTTCGTTTCTTTACGTGGGATGCATTGAATTGGGAAGGTCACGTGGCGCTGGTACAACTCAAATGTACGACCTCTGAGATAATGATATAATTAGTGGGCTACTTTGGTTAAGTTTAATGTACTAAATAGTAAACTAAGCTTAACCAAAGTAGCCCACTATTTCACTTTACTCTACTGTGGAGAAAAGAGTGATCAAATAAGGTGTACTATGCTGATGCGTAAAATAGGCAGATCCACATTCAACTGACTGGCTTATTCAATGCTCGTCAGTAGCCCGATTAGGCGAAGTCCATCGTTGTTACGTAATTGGAAACTCATAGCATAGACCTTATTTTTCACAACTCTTGAAAAGCCAATCCTATTTTTATGGGCCCTTAGAGGATCTCGCTTGATTCGCATTATCTTACCTGTTCCTGGGTAAATTCAATAGGCAAGAAGTGTGTTCTTCCGAGAGAAATAAGATTTAAGCGAAACGCGGACATGTGCGGCACAACAGTGAGCTTCATCTATACTGACTACTGACAAAAGCACAAGTAGTCAGCTACCCAATGGCACAATGAAGTTCAACATGGAAGAATTGTATCGATCATCAGTGTTCAGGTACTGAGTTTAAGAAATCCGTAGATTTCATCTTTTAAATTTAATCACTTTAGTCATTCTTAGTGCGAATATATTAGTGAAAACGGTTTGGTTTAGGGGGATCGATCCCGACTGTTTTTTTTCAAGCCACGCGCGTGAAAGTGGTTGTAGTCTGTATACACAAAAGTTTCGAAAGTTAATTTCCAAGTTAATAAAATAAGAGGCATGACAATTTTCGATCGTTCAGCATCCGAATTGATACCACACAATTGAACTTCGCATCTGTGTGATTTATTGCGAGGCGAGTCAAATTCAATGAATGATCTTAATGATTTTATGCTTTTGTTTGGTTAAAATACATTGATACCACTGCGCAAGCTTTGGTATTTCTATGCTTAGTAAAACAAAATTGAATCGATCATATTTCTTTTCCTGATACCAAAAATACAGATACGGTGACATAATTCAGATCGGTAATGAGTATTTGTAAGTAACCCATTGCTGAAGAATACCGGAAGCGCATCCTTGATGAGAAACGAGACCAGCTTGACCAATCATATATGCCTCAGGAAATTTTGCCCAATTATTCTTATGCCACCGATTAACAGGTAGCTATATTTAAAAGTGGTTCATCACACAGCAGTAAGATCAAAATGAACCACTGCGATTTTTCTAACAATAACTATCAAAACAATTTATGAAATGTATTGGTCCCGAATCTATTAAACAACTTGGATAATTATAGTTAAAATTATGTTTTGCAAAGACCTCACGTTTGCCCCCGTCTCCTCGCGTTTTGTTTTTCTTTGAACCACAAATTTTGAAATTTGTCTAGGCCGGGACCAAGCGATATATGTCTCCGGAACTGCTCGCCAAAATCTGTACCAGCACACAACTTGGTGTGCATCCCAGTCCAGACTTTGAGGAGACCGAGACCGATGCTATCCTAACACCGACCGTGTCCGCCGAGAGCAATCCGTCGGTGATGCTTAGTTTCGACACACTCAAAGCATCTGACGTGTACGCTTTCGGGCTGGTTCTGTGGGAAGTGGCCCGCAGATGCCGCACCCAGGAAGGTACGTTTGAGTCACACACCGAATTGGCACGAGTTGGAATTGGTTCTTTTTTTATAATCTCCGACCGAACGGTTTGACGAATGACTGAAACAAACCGCGGTCGGGGCGATCCAGTTGCTTATCATATGTCCCGAGTGTGCTTAGGTAATTTGCAATGACGAGTCAAACATCCATCTGAAATCGAGTCCCGGTTATAGAGAAATTGCCGTTCGAAAAACTAGCAACCTGCTCGTTGTTGTATAACACAGCGCGGTCACACTGCTAATGTATGGAGCCAGATAAGCTCCCGTTGACACGTAGTGCGTGTTTGAGGTTGCATTCTTTATGCTAGCACTTTACTTATGGATTAAAGTCGCATAGCATTTGTTAGGACGGATCGCACAGAACCCCTTAGGCCACACATAGATCCGCGTCACACCAAAAGTGCGTTCGTGATACCCAAAGCCGCATCGATTTCGAATCGGATGACTGAGGCGAATCAGGTAGTTGTTGTCCGATCGACCTATCGGAATATCAAGGATTCGATCTGATCAGTGCGTCATCACGTCGTTCCCGTACGCCCAATTTACCACATGTATTTGCATATTGTGTCGTGATGAATAACACTCTGACTGTCGTTTTCTGAGCCGTGTTCTCTCTCCGTATCGTTGTTAGAGGCTATTCAAGAGGCCCAGGTATCGATCATAAGTCTTGGCAAAACATTACAGGATTAATAGTAGGTCAGAGCAGTTGTCTTAACTACCCGATCGGCAAGAGCGTCTTGAAAATCTTCCGCGAACACTGTCAAAACGATCATGTGACATTGTTGTAGAATTAGCAAAGACCGATCCGCACTACCTCACCGTTGATAGACATTTTCTTCGAGAATATACTTCAAATATAAAAAAACGTCATCCAGAGGTATGTAGATATAAACGTATTTTCTTATGTAAAAGAACTCTTGCAGGTCTTTCATGTGTTCCTCAAACACATTAACACCTATCCAAGAGCTCGGTTTGTAACTAAACCAATATTATCTATTTCAACAGAGATGATATTTAAAAAATGAAAAATAAATAAGGTTTTACTCATGGTTTGAGTTGAATTGTTCCGAATATGTGAGTATACAGATGTTGATCAAACTCGTGCAACATCACTCTCATTTTGGAAATACATTTTAGTCTCCAATATCATAATTGTATATTAATGACTGTGGGTAAAGCAGATTTATTCCTGATATTATCTCCCACATCTCTGTTCTCAGTTCTCTTCTATCACCGATTAAATTACCGTGACTTTGAGCGCTGAGATAAAATTTGTAGCAGTTCAAAAGTTGCAGCTCAGATGTGGAAAATATTTTATATGAAGCAGCATGGCAGTTCATTTTTTTAATAAATGAGTCCTGTTCCATGACAGTGGTTATTAAGTTGAGCCCATATTATATTCTTAATTACTAATATCTTCTCATTCAATGTACAGCAAATAAGCAAATAAATAAAAATATTTTAACTTAAATAAATTAGTAAATTATTTGGCCACAAACTACTCACGCAGCAGCTCGGATTTTAATTCAATCTAAAACGTTTCCCTGAATCGGAAACATGGATAAGTTAGCTGCCTACACGGTGGTCGTCAGTGGTAAGGGTGTACGGTATGTTAGAGGAAACTGGGGAATTCTGTTTGGCAGTCAACTTTGTGGACTACATGCTAAAGTGACTGTCTGTAGTGCTCAAAAAAGAATAAGGGCAGATGGAACATGGACGAGATGCAGGTGCAAATTCTATTTCCGTTTTCTACGGTGGTTTTTTTCATTTCACAACTGATTCACCAGCAACCATCGTCAAAATCGCGAAATTGTTTAGTTTATTGATATGTGGCTAATAAAAGCAAACAAATAAGTGAATATTATATCAGATATGTTGCCTTTGATGTATCATATTCAATCGACCGTGAATGAGGCTGTAGAAACGAAGCATTGAGAGGATCAGATGTCATGAAAATCAGGATGTTGAACGAATTTGGTCAATACCGGTATATTTCTTTGTACACCTCGTGTGCATGAGAGTTGAAATCAGGTAATTCCAAAGTCGTAAAGTATGTAAGTGGAGTAAATTGTGTGTAGTATTAGTCCCGGTGACACAGAGCACGAACAAAATTCGGGAACAAATTTGGGCTCACTGACTTTTCTTGCACACGGATTTCCGTGTGATTTATTTGGTGTGATTTCATTTTAAATCCCACTGTCCCACTCACATTTTTCATTTGTTCGCGTTCCCTTCCACCCGCTCGTGTGTGGGGAACGTTTTGCCTTTACAATTGTTCATTTGCCAATAAACAGTTGTTAATAATTTTGTGAAAAGCATGTTCTGATTGATAACAATCACATGTAATTGTACTTTCTTGTAGTCATAAGCACACAACAGTCCGGTGGTGGAACCACATTTGTAGTATGGGAAAACGTGGCTCACCGAAGTTTTCTTGAGTGCACTGCTCACCTATCTGCTAAATTTCTTATTCATATTTGCATTCATGCGAGACACGGGGATAGTGTTGAAACTGTAGAGTGATATCTCAAGTCTACAACAATGCGGGTTGCTGGAAAGAATCCAATTCACCTAACTCAGATATTCGGGGTTCGCTCAGTCGGTGGAACACCGAAAGCACATGGCGTTGGATAGTTGTTGCACAAAATCATGTATAAATCGAGAAAATAAAGAGTAAACTGGAAAGCTGGGACAAACTGGTCAGCTGCTTTTATCTGGCAGGGTCTCATCAGTAGTGCGCGAATCCATCGATCAAACTGGGGAACTCACAGGTAAAACGCAGCCTCACCATTACCCACTCGCCTATTGTGCAGCTGACCAAACTTTCTTTTTAATTTCACCTGCACATAATATACAAATATATATATATATATTGCTCTATCCGACAGATTGCTGTGACGATGTTGTCAGTCATGTGAGTAATGGGAGATTTGATTCAATTTCGCATTCGCTTGCTATAAGTCAATTCGTTTACACGTTTACCGTGACAACCGACTTCGTTGTCCACAGTACGGCTAACCAAATCCCAGATACATAAATCTTCCCGGGGATTCTGAGATGGATTGAGTGTCCAACTTTGAGAGTGAATTTCATATGCCGTGCCAGTTTTGTGCTTACTTTAACAAGTTATACCCTGGTAGGCGATATTTAGCCCACAGATATCCTTAACAATGACGGACAAGAGTAGTATATGAGTTGATCGAATTCGTGAGCATAGGCATGATCACTGACTACTTAAATAACGTGACGATACGATGAATTTATCCATCATGCCTATGTCGTTTTCCTTGGTACTAATACATTTTCTGAGCACAGAGCAAGTTCGAGGTGAGTTGGTGAAAATGGCATACTTCACTGTCACGCGGAATTAGTATACGAATGCATAGCGCCTATGAGTTCTCACATCCTACAGAGTTCACCTTTGGCTTGCCTTTCTGGTTGGAATATGTATGTTTAACCACCGCGGTATACCAAGGGTTTCGAAAAAACGATACGGTTTACTACCTTTGGCGCCAAATACAGTGATTATTTGTTTCATATCCATCCGTTGAATAGAAAAATATCTACTTCACTTTTTAGGATGATTGCAGAAGTATTTAGTGAAGAAAGTAGATAATTGTGGTGGGATTCGAACACAAGAAATTTGGTTGAAAACCAACTGTTCTATCGCTGATTAACATGAATAATTCATTGCTTTCCTAATTTCAGGATTTACTACACCATATCACAATACTCACCCTAGCCAAGCGTGTCCAAGCAAATCACAAGGACTGTTAGCGACACAAATTCACATCATATTGACCACCGGTTTTTCTCGGCAAAATCTCATCGTGTTGCAGTTAATTTTATTTGTGGCATTCACAAAGTTTCATCAGAAAAACCTTCCCTTCTTGTCTCACACAGGTGCAGATCCGTATTTGCTACCCTACGGGGATCATATACCACCAGAACCGACCTTCTACACCATGTACGAGACCGTGTGTATCAACGGAATCCGTCCCACATTATCTGCTCGGTGGTCCGAAGATCCTGTAAGTCGTGCTTGTTAATCGTCGCGCGCGCGCACGCACACACTTGTCTGAGTTTTCGGACAAATCTTGTCAAATGCTTCATTCACTGCGAAAACAAAAACAAATAGCGAAGGAAGCTACTACAGTCACGGCATGATAAAGTGATCGATTTAATCACTGTTCTCGGTTGCTCTATGTTCGTTTGATTGAACTTTGTCGTGCATGAATCCACAGACTGCGGACGAGGAACGGCGTCGAACACAAAATGCCGTCCTGATGAGTTGAGAACGGAAGTACTGGGTGTTTATGAAACACACGTGGACATATGCACCATAGGTTTTGCGGGTCATTATTAACACCCGGACTGTTGTTCTCGAGCTACGAAAAGGTGG